CGAGACGTGCCCTCACCTGGCCCTCCCGGAAGGTATCACTCCCAGGACACACCTGCCCGCCACTGAGCCCTAGAGAAGGTGACCCTGCTTTCCACTCGCTCACCATGCTGCCTCTTCCAGAAAGCCCTCTGTGGGCTTCCTACCGGGAAGAGCCCTCCCAAAGCACCCTGCAGTCCGACCCCTCCCCCGCAGCCCGAGCCCCGAGACCCTCCCCACCGGCAGCCCCCCTGCCCCTCCCCATGGACGCTGCCTCACCTGGTCCTTGTTGACAAAACCCCAGATGCCGGCGGCCACTTCACAGGCAAAGAGGATCACCAGGCAGGTGAAGAACTGAAAAGGGGAGGGTGGAGAGGGCAGGTCAGAGCCGGCCAGAGAGGGCCCGGGCCTTCCCGAGGCCGCAGCGACCGGCCGGCGTGCGCGGGGTGGCCGGTGGTGTCCACCCACCCAGGACCCGACAGGGGATGAGAGGCGCGGGGCCGAGAAGCAGAATCTAGGACTCGGCCCGGCAGTGAGATGCCAATGTTCTCGTCATCCCCGAGGGGCCAGGCTCCACAGGATGGGATGGGTGTGGGAGGGGAGGACATGGTTGGTTCTGGGCGGGTCGGAAAGGGCAGGGAGGCAAAGCCCACGGGAAGGGGGTCGCCGTGGTGTGCCTGGGCTCGCCCACTGGAGACACAGGCACAGCCTCCTGCAGCCCACGTCTCCCAGATGCCAGGCCCTGGGCAGCACAGCCAGGCCTCCACTTCCCGTCGGTGGGTGACATGCCCAGGGGCACCTGAGGCTGGTTCTGGGACTGGGACTCACTCCCTATTATATCTGTGGGTTTTTTTAAGAAGGAAGAAAAAGAAAAAGCAGCTTTGGAACTCAGTAGGAACTAGACAAAGAACTAGACGTAACGGCGGTCCACCTCAGAGGGATTTGAGACCCGATTGGGGAAACCGGAGAGCTGGCATTCTGGGGGAGGTCCGCAGGGTCAGACTGGCCAGGGGTGGCACCAAGCGCCACGTCGGGGACTGAAGGGGTTCTGTCTCCACCGGAGCTCCCGGTTCTGCCCCTGGCCGGCCCCGCAGCCCTTACCCTTAGCCCGGCCCCAGCCCAGGGCCTTACCGTCCCCAGCAAGCACTGGGACTCCTGGATGGCTCCGTAGCAGCCCAGGAACCCAACAAACATCATCACAGCACCCACGGCAATGAGGATGTAGATGCCTGCAGCGGAGAGACGGCTGCCCTCAGTGCCCTGACATCCCAAAGAGGCAGGACAGGTGCCCCCAGAAGCCCTCCTCCCCAGTTGCGTACACACACCCCACTGCCCAGGCCTCTGAAGGGGCCACGAGGCGCTGACGCCCGCCCTGCTGGGAAGACGTCAGATGCCCGGAGGCTTGGAGAGGAGCTGCAAGGACTTGGCAGCCCGGCGGGTCCATGTGGGCCCCTCTCCAGGCCTCAGTTTCCTCCTCTGTGACGTGGGTGGAGACCGGCGTTGCCGAGGCCAGGACCAAACAGCCCGTGGTGAGTGTTCAGAGAACTCAGCGCGACGCCACAACCCGGACCATCTCTGGGTCCCGCAGTCTCCGGGATTTGGGGGCGCCGTGGAGGACCACCCCCGTCTTGGCGCAGAGGACCCAGCTACTGGCTTGTGGGTTGGGGTGGAGGTGAGTCCAGGGGTCTGGCGACTCCACTTCACTTGTGCCCTCTCAGGCGGGGGCTCGAGTCCGGCTGCTCTGCTCAGAGGAGGGGGCTCTACCCGGCTTCTGAGGCCCTGACCCCGGGGGCTGGAGCCTGCTGGACACACAGGCCTGGCGGCTAGGACAGCTCAAGGATGGCACAGGGGGTCAGTCTTCCCCCCTGGCCTGCCCAGCACCCACTGCTGGTCATGCGGCCCTTCTCTGCGTCCACAGTTCACCCAGGCGGGGCCCGTGCCCCTTGAAACACGGACCACGTCTCTCCAAGGACCTCCCACAACCCTAGTCCTACCAGCAGACCTGGGCCCACCCCCCAGTCGCCATGGTTACGCAGTGGGCAGGCAGCCCAAGCCCCCTCCACAGTGCTAGGACAATGGGTCCCAGGGCTCCGGTGCCAAGGGCCTGTCGCCCCTGCCTGGCCAGGCTTTGGAGAAGGAACCTGGGGGCCAGGACCCACTGCTGGGCTCAGAAAACACCCGGGCCTCCCCTCTGGACAGATGGAGCCTCCCGCCAGGCCCACCCTCGGGGGCTCTTCACTCAGGCACAGCACCCTTTAGCCAGGTGTTCTCTGCTCAGGTCCTGAGACCCCCATCCCCACATCACTACCTGAGGTTCAGCAAGATGGCATAGGGCGCCAGGGAGGGGCACCTTGGCGTTCTGGGCTCTGGAGGGTCCTGCGAGAGGCTGGGAGACCCAGAGGCGGTACCTGACCCACCCACCCACCCCCAGGCCCGGCCCCAAGCCCCCCACGGTGCCGGGTTTCCACCTAGAGCCCTCGGCTTGGTTCTGGCCAGTGAGGTCCGGGACCCCCCCTGGGCCCTGGAGCATTGCCTGGGGTGCTAAGCCCGCCCAGCTCACCCTCCCCCGCTGCCTGGCACTGGACAAACAGCTCTTGTCAGGGCCCACGTCTGCTCCCCCAGCTCCCTGGCAGGCCCAGTCTGCATCAGAGCCAGCAAGAGGCTCCAGAAGGCCGGCCCTGGGTGGGCAGGAACTCTGTGGCCAGAGGGGCTCTGAGAGGCCCCCGCCCATGGGGACACAGCAGAAGGTCCAGGGGCTGGCACTCAGCCTGCCGGGTGGTCCAGCAGCTAACACTGCTCCCCCAAGGGCAGGATTCTCCAGAGCCAGGAGAAGCCAGCGTCAGGGCCCAGGTGACGTGCGGCCCCCAGTGAGTGGACCCGGGGGACACTTGCTCCAACGCCAGCCTTGCCCTTGACGAGCCTCTCCCGTGGCACCCCTTCCCCGCCAGAGCCTGAGCACAGCCCCGCCGCCTCCATTCATTCCCGCCAAGGTCCCCCCAGATGTCTGCGCGCCGGCCTGGACTGTGTCCCTAACCCAAGCCTGCAGCCGGTCGCCGCTCTTGCCCCATCCTGGCCTGAAGCAGGGGAGCTTTCAGCTCCTCTCCTGCCTCCTGGGCCGGACGCTGGGCTGACGGCAGGAGCTGCCCCAGCCACGAGGCTGGCGGCCCCGGCCCCAGCAATTTGGGAGGGACCCCTTCCAAGACTGCTCGCCCTGGGGCCGGCTCAACTCTGCCACTTGGGTGCAGTGGAGCCCACGTCCACTGCACCCAAGGTCCCAGAGAGGGGGATGGAGAGATGGCAGCAGCCCTTCCCACAGGCTGGCTCAGACCCCTGCGGCGGCTCTGAGAGGCCTGGGAGGAGCCCCGCGGGAGAGAAACACCCCTTGAGAGCCCAGAGGACACTCCTGCGTCCTCAGACGTGTGGGCCCCGCTGACTGCTTTGCTTCTGAGGGGGCCTGCTGCGTGTGCAGGGGCCCTGGGTCACGGACCCCTTGTGCCCTCTCGGGAGGCGGACTCACCCTCTGCTCCTGAGACTCAAACCTGTGAGGGGCCCCACAGTGTGGGGGGAGCCCAGGAACCTGTGGAAAAGGGCTCGGGACCCTCCCCGGGACAGCTGTGGCCCCAGGAGCCCCACCGCCAGAACCCCAGGCTCCGGTCTCTGCCCCCCCGCCCCTCCACAGCCCCCGGAACCCAGCCCTCCCAGCGTAAGGCCCAGAGGGCCACGGGCAGGGAGGGGGCAGGCACCACCCACGGCCCCAGGGCAGGAGGTGAGTGTGGCCCCTCAGGGCACCCTGAGCCCGAAGGTTCCCTGCCCTGCTGCTTGCCTCTGGGAGCCAGAGGGGCCGGGCCGGGCCCCACCTTCCCTGATGGGGGGAGGGGCCCAGCAGGAGGCGGGAGACACCCCTTCTCCCCTCCCGCCCCTCCATCGCTCCTCCGGCAATCCCACCCCCACCCCGGGGGCCGCTGGCCCAAGCCCCCACGCCCCAGCCTGACGGACTCCCAGAAGGGGCCACCAAGGGCGCCCAGGAGGCAGACTCGCAGCCTAACTGCGGCTATAGGTGTGGCTGCAGGGCTGAGTCATGCAGGCCCTGAGTCTCCATCCCGGGGGCTCTGGGCTCCAGCCCCACCCTCCCAGGAAGCCTCCCCTGAAGCACCCACCACATGACACAGGGGAGCAGGGGAAGGGGGCAGGCGCGGCCCAGTCTCAGCGCCACGCCACTTGCCACGCCACTCAACATTCCTGGTCCCCCACTGGAAGGGACCTCTGTGCTGCGCCTCCGAACACCCCTCTGCCCCCTCCCCACCCAGCTGCTGCTCTCCTGCTCCGCCCCCCCTCCCCCCGAAGTGATCTGGTGGGGTCCCAAAAAGCCACACACACACACACCCTGCCCCCAGTTCCAGCTCTCCCCGGGAGCACCCCCGGCCCAGGCAGGCACTGCACCAACTCCAGAGGGGACCCTCAAGGCCTCCAGGCTGACATAACCCCACCTGCTCTCTGGCTCCGTCTCACCCTCTGGCCGGAAGAGCCCTTCCTGGCTGGCCTCCCTGCCCCAGCAAGAAGCCAGCCCCGCTGAGCTGGCTCGGCCCCTGCTTCCTCCTGGAAGCCCTCCCTGACAGCCTGTCTGCGGCCTCACTGAGCTTATGATCACACACCCCAGTGGCCCGTTCCTGCCGGCCCCCAGCCCAGAGCTCGCCGGGGTCCTCAGCCCGCCCTCTGCCACTTACCTACATAGAAGGTGTTGGGTGCAGGCCTGTCTCCGAGTTCCAGGTAGAGGAGGTTGGTGGTCTGAGGGTCATGGCGAAGCCACAGGGCCACGCCTAGGATCACACCTCCAGCCAGCTGCGAAAAGAGGGCATGGTGTCACTCGTGGCCCGGAGCCCAGCAGTGGTGAGCGTGAATCCACCACACTACACACACACACAGAGGAGGGTGCCGAACCCTCCTGTCCGCTGGGTCTGCGGGAAGGGCTTCCCTCCAGGCAGGACTCACTAGCCCCTGGGGTCTGGGCTGCTGCTGGCTCCAAATGTCTGATTTGCTGCCTTGGTTGTCAAGATGCCCCGGGGGACCTGGGCATGGGGGACCATGTGGCTGGTCCCCAACCCTCCCGCCAGCACCAGGGGAGTGAGACTCCCAGACAGGTTACCGGATAAGATGCAGGACGCCTGGTTAACCTGCATTCAGACAGACACCAAATACTTTGAGGAGGGGGTGGGCACCTGATGCCACGGGGGCCCTGGTGTGGATGGCAGAGGCTGCTGGGGCCGGTGGCAGCCGGGAAGCCACAGGGCCGGGGCTTTGTGGGGTAACTCCCTGCCATCAGGGAGATGGGAAACTGCCGGGAGAGCAAGGGAGCTCGCGGTGCTCGCCAGAGAGACCGCAAGGCGGAGGCTGCGCTGAGCGGCGGGCAGGAGAGGGGGCTCCGCTCAGAGCCTGGCACGGGGGGGGCGCGGGCTTCCGGCTGACTCGTGCCCCTGCGAGCACAGTGGCTCAGGGCTAGGTGGGGTCTGTCCTTGAGGGTAAGCCCACACCGGGCCCAGCAGGCCCACGCCTGAGCATCTGACCCACCCAGGCAAGCTGGCCCCCGCACCCCAGCCTCCTCCCTGGGCTGCTTCCCGGGGCAGTAACTGTCCCCGGAGCTACAAGCACCAGCTCCTACACAGACGGTCAGCTACGTGTCCAATGAGGAAAAGAAACCAAAAAGCGGACCCCAAGAAGACCACCTGGCTGGCCCAGTGCCTGTGCCCAAGGCCCTGGCCAGGGAGCGCGGCCCTGAGACAGGCTCAGCAGAGCGTGAGACTCGAAGCCCCAGCACCAGGGGCTGCCCCAAGGAAAGCCCCAAGCATCTCCAGGGATCTCCAGGCAGGTGACGCTAGGGCGCTGATGGGGGGGTGGGGAGGCCAGGAGCCCCGCGGCCCCAGCCCAGACCCTCCTACGCTGGGCTCCGTGGACGATGAGGCTGGTGGGGACCGCTGGCGCCCGGCAGCAGCCGGGCTGACCCCGAAGGTGGTGCTGTCGACACTGCCCCCCCGGGCGGGACGGCACCCTCTCTGATCCCCTCTTCCACACGTTCAACTGGGGACTCCACTCCCCACACCCAGGGCAGCACGCTTGCTCTCCCCCTTCCCAGAGCACATGCAGCGGGACCGAGAGGGTCCCTCCGGGGCCCCCGGCCCCCCCCTGCGCACCCCTGGAAGGGCAGTGCTGAACCCCCAGCGTCCCCTGGCTGCTCCTGGTGCCTGTCACACCCACAAGCGGGTGGGAGGGCCCGGGGACGGGGCAGGGGCAGGGGGAGGGGGAGGGGGAGGGCGGGGACGGGTCAGGTAGGCTCCGGAGGGAGTCTCGCTCCTCTGGCTGCCGGTCTGCAGCTTCTGGGCAGGCGGGCAGCGGTGGTGAGGCTGAGGGTTGCCGTGGTAACTCTGGCTAGAAACCGCCACTTATTCTGTTTTGAAACTGTGGTCCAGAGACCGCTTTGTGAGACGTTCCAGGATGGAGGGGGTGGGGCAGGGGGAGCCCTGTCCTGGGCCTCCTTTGCAGTCACAGAGGCCTGGCCCCAAGCCCTGACTCAGCCTCAGTATCCCCGTCGGTAAGGTAAGGAGAGCTGAGCGTGGAGTGGCACCTCCCGCCCCCCTGGCTGGGCTGGGACCACTCCCATCTTCCCCATGCAGCCCCTCACCCCAGAAGCCAAGGGGACAAGCCCATCTAGAGCACTTGGTCCTAACAAATGCTGTGAGGGTAATGCTTATCCCAGCACCCAGATGCTAACCGTGGGGTGGCAGGCAAAGTCCCCATCTCTCCTGTCTCGGGAAGGGCTTTCCACTGCAGACCCCAGGATGTGCGGGGGGCAGGGGCAGAGAGGGGACAGCAGCCTCCAGACTCCCCTGTGGCTCCAGCCCACCTCCTGAAGGGTGAACAGGGAATGCAGTCCCGCCTCCAGGCAGGGGAGAGCCTGGCGCTTAAGTGTACCCTCCTCAGCTGGTCTTCAGTCATTCCAGGCCCCGCACAGACCCGCTGGGGTGGGCCTGGATGAAGGCAGTGGTGGCAGTGGCCACCCCCAGTTTCGGGGGCTGGGATGGGCATTCACCTAAGGTCACCTACAGGGGAAGGGCCAGGGCAGCACTGCGAATCCCCCCCGCAATACCCCCACCCAGGCCACGAGAAAAGGCAGAGGGTGGGGTGGACCCGTGCCTCTGCAGGGAGGGGGTGCCCAGGGCAGGGCAGGGGTCCCAGAAGCAGCAGAGTTCTGAAAGAAGCCTGCTCTTCAAAAGATAACCCACAGACTGGGGCTTGCAAATGGCTAACAAAGGACCCGTATCCAAAATTTATAAAGAACTTGCAAAACGCTAATGACAAGAAAACAAACAACCGATTTTTAAAAAACGGGCAAAAGAAAAAAAAACTTGGACACTTCGCCAAAGAAGAAATGTGCACAGCAAATAAACACGTGGAAAGACGCGCAGAGTCATTGGTCGCAGGGAGATGCAAATTAAACCACAGCGAGACACCCCCGAGCACCTATGGGATGGGCTGAAGTGAGAAGACCCCCAGGCGAGGGTGGGGAGCAGCAGGGACATAGGAGACAGAGCTCGGGTCCTCGGCACGTTCTCCATCCCTCCACCCGCCACGCGCCCAGCCTCTGCACCCCCAGTACTGTCCCAGGGGGGTGGAAGCCCGTGCCCACACAAACGTGCCAGCAGCTTTCCTGGTAACACCCCCAAACCGGGGACAACCCGATGCCCTTCAAGCGGTGAGTGGGTGGATGCCCACCAGCAGGGGAAGGGAAGAAACTACTGGAACTACTGACACAACCACCAGAGTGAAATCTCCAGATAACCCCGCTGATCCAGACCAAGAGAAAAAACCACCACCTTCCGATTCCGTTCACATAAAAAGTACAGGAAATGCCAATCACGGGCACAGATAACAGGCCGGTGCGTGGCCTGGGATGGGGAGGAGGGATCCCAAGGCCCCGGGGACACCTCTGCGGGTGATGGATACATTCACTCTCCTGGTGGACCACCCTCTAGGTCTCACAGGTGCCTCCTTACGTCAAAACCTACCAAGTTATACATTTTAAACGTGCAGTTGACGCTATGTCAAACAAAGCTGTTTAAAAAACCACACACACCCAAATCCCCGTCCACTGAACTTCTAAGCAGCAAAGCCTTTAGGGGTAAATGTTTCTTCTGGTCCCAAAGGATCCAGCCTGCTGTCTTCATGCCAACCGTCTGCCAAGGTGAGGACTCCTAGGCTTCTAGCGGCCAACAGCAAGCATCTGGAAATGCTGAAGTCTCGTCCACAAAACTGAGGTTTTAGGGTCAAAAAAGGGACTGGATAAACTAAGGAACACTTATGCCCGCTATAAAATGGAGTCCAGACTTGACGGAAAGCACTTAGTCCTCGCATTGGGTGGGAATCAGAGTGTGGCAGCCAAGGGCCCCCAGAGCCTCTGGCTGCCGGGTCATCTCAGGACCATCTCGGCAGCCTCCAATATCCTTGTGTGTATAATGAGGAACTAAAAGTACACAAGCTGAAAAGATGTGGTACATATATACAATGGAATATTACTCAGCCATAAAAAGGAACGAAATTGGGTCATTTGCAGAGACGTGGATGGATCTAGAGACTGTCATACAGAGTGACGTAAGTCAGAAAGAAAAAAACAAATATCATATAATAACGCATACATGTGGAACCTAGAAAAATGGTACAGGTGAAAGGGTTTGCAAGGCAGAAATAGAGACACAGACGTAGAGAACAAACGTATGGACACGAAGGGGGGGTGGGGGTGGTGCTGGGATGAACTGGAAGATCGGGATTGACATGTATACACTGATGTGTATAAAACAGATAACTAATAAGAACCTGCTGTATAAAACATAAAATTCAAAAAATAAAAATAAAAGTACACAAGCTGACCTACGCAGAGCGCTCAGATGATGCCACTGTACACAGCGTTCGACAGCGCTGGCGGTTACTGTGACCATCCTTGGCAGTTTCCAGGCAGGCTGCTCAGTGGCAGAGTCTGACACATCTCCACTCACCCCCTCCCCCTCTCCTGCTAGCTGGCCTGGCGGAAGTGCTGCTGCCACCTGCTCCTGCATCCTGAGATGCTCCTGCGTCCTGAGATGCTCCTGTGTCCTGAGATGCTCCTGCTTGGGTGGGGCTGGCAAGCAGCTCAGGAAGGAGCCCCTAACCTGTTGGGATTACTGAAGGGTTCCACACCAGGGGACGGCGCGGACTGTTTGTAATCCTATGAAAGATGCAGTTTCTGTTTCTTTCTTCCTCCTTTCTGAGAATTAATAAATAATAGCGTCAACTAAAAAGGGGGGGAGGGGGGGCTGCCAAGTACACTGGGTTCCTGCCCGGCCTGTGCGTTTCCAAGAAGCAGCTGAAAGGGCGTAGGAGTGGGTGCTGCCCGGGCAGGCCTGGGGCAACCTTCCCCCCCACTCCGCCTGCTCCTGCCAGGCCCTGGGTGGGAGCTGAGCTGGGATCTGTCTTCCATCCCTCCCTCCCCACCCACACGTGCTGGCCCAGTGGTCACCCCAAGTCCTGCCCACGCGTTCCAGGAGTGACAGGGACACCCACGCATCAACGTGCTCCCTTACTTAGCAGCTCTGACGCTCTCAGAGACAGTTGATAGAAGGGGCAGCTCCGTCGTGACCCAGGAAGGGCCTTGGCTCTGAGCCGCTCTGCTCCCTAACCCGCCACCGCAAGGGGTGCACACTCTTGCTGGGAAAATGTGCCACGAAGTGCCCATGCAGCTCGGCAACCAGGAGGTCCTGGGGGCCTGGAGACCCTCCCCAGGAGGGCAGTGAAGGCCACAGGCAGGAAACGCCCTT